TCCCGATGGTCAATTTATACCAACAGTTTTCAATGAAAGATACAGGCTGCACAGGCGTGTCAAAGAAAAGCTATTCATCTATTCATTCCGTGACAAAGGATACGAAATCGGCGTGAATTGTATGAGCCTTGTCGCCAAGAAATTACTTAACCGGCAATGCGGACAAAAACTTCGTCTTTTCGATCGTAACTTTTCTGCATGAAAGAATTTCCTTACTCAACTGTTTGTACCTTGCAGAAGACCCGTTAAACACGGCGTTAAAAATTGGTACTATTCAATCATTCTACTGAGAGTGTTGATTGTTATGTACAAATAAACCGTATTTTATGCTGTTTTCACAATGCAATACTGATTAAATCCTTCGAAAAACGGCAGATGTAGACCAGGAGGCAGCATCCAACAAAGATGGACAACGCAAGCAGATCTAAGTTAAGCGTGAAATTTTTTTTACCAATGGTGATTTAGGTCAGCAGTGACAATATGACGACCTCAGAGAATTAAGGACTGTAAGTCTAAAACATTAATTAACCTTCCTTATGACTGATTTAGTCATTCTTGGTGTTTCATACAGTTTGTGATCTCTGATGACTTTTGTAGAAACTATTACGGGTATCAATTCCGTTCGACTAATCTGTAAATATGTTTATATGTCATTTCCATCCCTTTCGCTTTCGCAAAAATTCTTAGCTTTGTCAGTGACATCTCACACTACTCCGTTAAGAAATAAATGCGTTTAAAATTCAGAGTGGTTTGCAGTATGGATTGGTCAGCAGCACAATGACGATTCTCTCATTTCGCTGGGTACACAATAACCTCTCTTGCAGGTGTTACTCTTCCGTCATCTAAAACTAATTTTATGCCACTTCTGATAGATCCTAAAAACTTGGTACATTAACAGTTTCGCTGACACGATCAGAAGTAGCTGAGTAGTGTCAGATCCAACGGGACATGAATCCTTCTTAAAGAATGTGAAAGAACATATTTGCCAGATGAAGTAAGCAACATGATACATCAGACTAAATGGCTGTTTTGCCAAAAAAATAATCAGAGATCAAGCCTGTAAACATGAGAGAGTCCGGGGGCATTCATACATGGAGATATTAAGAAAAAAATAACATCTCGAATTTCTTATTTTCACACGACTACCGTATATGTTATCGATTATGCAACGTGAACCCACAACACCTATAAAAGTTTTATGCAAAATGATAATATTTAATGCACATGTAATACGGGAACTGTACTATCCTAAATTTGTACTAGCCTTTTAAATTACCCGAAATTGTCGAAAATCCAGGCGCATATGACAAACAACTCTGAAATATCACTGGACGTCTGACCCCTGCTAGAACCTTCCTGCAAAATGCGTTTGCACTTTGACCACGATAATTTCATAGTCAGACGCTTCAGGGATCAAAGCCATCCTTCAGTTCTTGCAAGTTACCAATCTCACCATTCGAAGAAACCCAAATGAGGGCTTAGCAATAAACAGATCCATATCAAAATGTTAGAAGTTTTTTATTTTTCAATCGTCATCTTTAAATCGAGCTCAAAAGTTGTTTTCTAATATAGATTAAAGGTGCCGTGAAAAAACATTTAAAAAATCCCATTCTTAGTATACACCAAATTGAACCGTAAAGAGTCAAAAGATGGAGTAGGACAATGTCTATGCAAAGATTAGAAGTGTCGGTTCCTGAAACATCATTTGCAATCAGTATGACGTTGTCCTAGTAAACACTATAACGTGAGATGCATCTAGCGTAATCAGAACCACTACAGTGTGCTCGAAGATACAGAGCTGTTACCTCCTTATATTCCACCCCTAGGCAAGCAAGATCAAGGGAGAAGTAAAATAAGACAAAAAAGCTGTTGTAGTTCGTCTGCTAAAAAAGTCTGTCGAAGCGGCGCGTATTACAGCATACGCGATGTATCAGCTCCTAAAATCGCTCATGGCGTATGGCTAATGGCCAAGAAACTGCAAGTGAATGATGAGGCAAGTTGCAGTAATAAACACAGGTTTGATCTGCCTAAACAGTCACCTAGACAACGAAGAGAATGTGAGTATTAGCATGCCGTAAAACAGCCCCATAGTAGTGATTCGGCTTGTTTACTCGCTACCGAGTAACAATCAACATTTGTGACGTATTCGCACATTGCAGATATGTGTTTTAAAATGCTAGGTAATTTGAAACAACAATACGAAATAATATAATTAAAATATTTCAATTGTAAAAAATTGCTCGTTTAAATTCAATTATTAATTACTAAGACGATTACGACTTGCAGACTGTAAGTCCTTTTGCTCAATTTAAATTTTTGAAAAATAAATAAATATGAATGCTTCCTGAAATGAAGGCAAAACCGCTATTACTTTCCCAACAAACCGGCAGAAATCCTCGGGAGGGCCAGTGCTAATCTGGGACAAGTGTCGACACTTTGTTCCAGATCCGGGTAATCTTCTGATGAAACCCAAAGGATGTTAGAGGCTCGAAAACGTTTGATACGCAGCCTGACGCGTCTGCC